TGTACAGACGGGAATTTACTTTTGCTTCAGCCTGAGGTTTATTCAGTGCACTTTTTGGTGTTGAAAGGGCTTTTATATTGGCTATAAATAGAACTTCTTACATTAAAAACAATCAAGCCCTGCTTATATTTAAAAAGTAACGCAAAAGTAATATAACGCATTACGTTCCGTAAAAAGTAACTAAGTAACGTAATTAGTTACTTTTTTTAGGGAGTAACGCAATACTGTAATGCATTACTTTTAAAAGTAACTTTCTCCAACACTGCCTATTTGTATATTTAGTTAAAATATAGTTTTCCAATTTAAGATTTTTTATTTAGTTGTATTTTTCTTTTATAAATGCTACTAATGACATTCATATATATTCGAATGTCTAAACTTCCTTTAGGTACACTGTAGATCAAAATACTTTCTGATATCATTAGACCAAGTACGTTTTGGTACACATTTTCTAAATTCAAATGCATCCATTTGTCTCATACTATAGGCTCCAGAGAGGTCTCTGTATGACTGCTTACATCAGAGCACTGAGGACTATGATAACAAACTCCACCGTGATGACAGAAAACACGCCAAATCCCGGGGCCTGGACATCTTCAGTGAGGTGCGCTTTTTCCCAAAACTCCAGAGATCCATCCATGTCAGCTCGGCAGTCCATGCATTCTGTGTTGTTCTTTTTTTTTAAACAATGCTTTCTAGAGCAACTAGATCCCAATACATTTCATCTCAACTTCCCATCTTAGGAATCATCTAGACCAGCACCTGTTCTGTCCTCTTCTGTGTATGGCCGGTTTTCACCGCTGCAGTACGACTCAGGGAGGAGCTTTGCTCATGTTGCTCACATTCGTTCTGATTTCTACAGTAAGAATGGGATCACCTGGACCGTGGAGGAAGGCTATGGATCTGTGAAACCCGTCTAAATGTGTCTGTTACATCTGGTCACATCTGTCACTGAACATTACAGTCAATGTCAAAACAAATGTCTGATGCTACAAGCAGAGCAAATTGTTACTAACATCTACACAATATAATATGAATCAATCACATGAATGTTTTTATGTTACAGGGTGAATAAAACACAATCTGTCAACATGCTCGTGTCTTAATTCATGCCTAAAAAAAAGAGACTAAAATAAGAAATGATGTGCTGAAATATTAATTTATTAATATTATAAAATAATTGATATTAATTAGTCCAGTTAATCGTGCTTAGTAATACCCAAATTAAAGTTTTTGTTAACTTAATACATGTGCATTACTGTGTATATTTATTATGTGCATGTATATATTTAAGGAAAAATATTAAATTATTAATAAAAATATTAATATTTATATATGTATATATTAAAATATATACGTTTAGTTGTATATATGCACATGATAAATATACACAGTATACACGTATATTATGTAAACAAAAACTTTTATTTTGTTTGCGATTAATCGTTCGACAGCGCTAATATTAATGAATATTAATACATTAAGTTTTTTAAACTCCAAACAGCCCAAATTCTCATTATTATAAAAGTATATTATTAATAGTACTATAATTATATACAAGAAAACATGCATAAACATAAAGGTATATATGTAAGCAAGAAAGGATATACAGTATATATATATATATAAGTAAAGCATTATCAATGAAGTACATTTTTCCTATGACTTGTTTAGATTTTTCTTTTTATGTGGTTTTAAGACTTTTCATATGAAGCCTATTTAAAATTCATAGACAGAGACTTTGACATTTATATATAAATTTTAATGGATAACAAAATGATAGCATCAAAACATGGCCACCTTCGTTAATTGTCTTTATTTTACAAAATCTCAGCTGCTTTAAATTATGGATTGAGCAACACACAATTACAAGTCTGGGTTACACAGAGCCTCTGAGCCATCCATTACTTATAAAGCAATGCAAATAATCTAGTGTATGTGGTGCAAACAGAACGCTGTAGAGCTCCACTACAGTAGGCCAACGCTATATTGAACTGTACATGTTTTAATCAGGTCAATGACTGACTGGTGTGTGACTGAGGTTCAAGGCATTACATTCCCTTGTGATAAGGATCGTGTCATCTCAGTGTGAACGAAGAAGGTTTTGAGATCCCCTTTGCCCTTCACGTTGATGATCCCTCGACAGGAACACATGTAGCCCAACGTCTGCAAGATCCGACTCGTCTCCTCAGTGACCTGTGGAAGGAAGCACACTAGATCTGATCCACTGAAAAACCCATAAATAATTCAGCAGGCATGCAAAGTAGGTCAGAACAAGGATCAACCTGTATTTTCCCAAGCACCCCTGTGCTATCCATTCTACTGGCTACATTCACCGTGTTCCCCCAGATATCATACTGTGGTTTCTGTGCTCCGATTACTCCTGCAATTACTGGGCCGTGGTTTATTCCTGGTGAGAGAAAAGCCGGAAACATTTGACACATCCTGAATGCTGATAAAGTCTGTACCACAAGGCTATTATGAGACTCTCTGCCAATTAGGAAAGGCAAATAAAATGTTGCCGGCGTAAAAGTGCTGACAGGCCCTGCTTACCCACTCGCAGTTTGAAGTCATTAAAGGAATGTTTGTTGATGACGTCAAGCTTCCCCACCAAAGCAAATGCAAACTCCACCATTGTTCCAATGTGCATGTACTGCCGGTCGTGGTCCTTCAGAATATGAACAGGGCACTATCAATGCACACATTTCAGTATTGACTACACCCTGAGACTCTCAAGCAAGAAGCACAAATCAAGCTCTCAGCACCACAGGCAGGTCCTACAATAGGTCTAATGAGACTCTGCAATCAATCCAGTGTAAACTTTACAAGAATTATAATTTAGGACTGAACACAAGAGCTCAAATTCGTACCTGCGCGTACTCTAGTCCAGGGGTCACATTCAGCCCCGTTGCAGCCATGTATGTGCTGCCAATCGTTTTGATCTTCTCCACACCACTGAATTTGGGTTTTGACAGCAACTGTTGAGAACAAAAGCATTAAGAAGAGATGTTAATGTATTTGATCTTGGCAGACAAGGTCTGATGTTGCTTCTGCTGCATAGCAAGTATAGACTTCATACTGCCCATACTACACTCTTTATTGGCATCAGTGGTTTTCTGAAGAACCTTTACAGGGTTAGTTCACCCAAAAATGACGTTCTGTTGTTGATTACTCACCAACATGTCGTTTCAAACTCATAGGACCTTCATTCATCTTCAGAACACAAATTAAGATATTTTTGATGAAATCTGAGAGCTTTCTGACCCTCCATAGACATCAAGGGAACTACCATATTCAGTGTCCAGAAAGGTACCAAGAATATCTACAAAACAGTCCATTTGTCAACCGTGTGTTTCAGTGTTTCAACCGTAATTTTATGAAGCTACGAGAATACTTTTTGTGTGCAAAAAAACTAAAATAACGACTTTATCGAACAATTTTCCCCCCGAGTCACCCTCTGCCTTCATTATGGAGAGTATCACAATGCATGCGCATGCTTTCCTCTCGATGCGCATATACGCTGTTTACTTGCAGCTCAAAGCACGCGCATGCTTCGTGGTACTCTCCAAAATAGCGCTAGGGTGACATGGAGGAGAAGAATTGTTCAATAAAGTTTTGTTATTTTAGTTTCTTTGTGCACAAAAATTATTCTCGTAGCTTCATAAAATTACAGTTGAACCACCGATGTCATATGGACCATTTTAGATGTTCTTGGTACCTTTCTGGGTCTTGAACATGGTAGGACCTTTGCTGTCTATGGAGGTCAGAAAGCTCTCGAATTTCATCAAAAATATCCTAATTTGTGTTCTGAAGATGAATGAAGGTCTTACAGGTTTGGAACGACATGAGGGTGAGTAATTAATGACAGAATTTTCAATTTTGGGTGAACTTTCCCTTTAACATCCATGGAACTATGCAGAAGGTTCTTTATAGTGGAAAAAAAGTTCTTCAGATCATTACAATGTTCTTCAGAGTATCAAGTCCACAACTGCTGATGGACTGTCCCGTATTAGTATATCTCCTCCCTCAGCCAGTTGTATGCTGTCCGCCATTTTCTCTGTGCTCGAGCAGCTGTAGCGACGACAGTGTTTCGTAAGCAATGCAGGTGTTTTGTAGTTGGATGTAAAAGTGAACAAAACAGTCTTCATTTTCTCCCGACAACAGAGCCACTGAGGACGCAGTGGATTAGTTTTGTTTTTGATGGTAACGCACCACCGAAAACACAAAAAAACAGAAGAGAGGGGCGGGGTGAGCAGTAGCTCATTATCATTTAAAGAGCCATGCATCGTAAAGGGTCGCTGTGAACAGAACATTTTTGGCAAGGTAAAAAGGGTGTTGATTTACATGACCATTAAGGAATTTTAACCAAAGTATATTGCAGACATTTCATGTAGACCCTAAACAATCATACCAACTTGTGGAAAATGGGAATCCGCTGTCCCCTTTAAGAACTGCTCACTGTGAAAGGTTCTTTGGGGAACCCAAAATGGTTCCTCTATGACACTGCTGGGAAAATGCCCCTTTATAACCTTTATTTTTAAGAGTGTAGGCAAACAGACACACTGTCCCGTACAAGAAATAGACGGGTGGTGCTAGGGGAGATAGAGGGTATCAGAGGAACTCTGATAGTGCTGAAAGACCATCCTACAGCGAACACTGAACCAGACTATTTAAATTTTGAGCAAGCAGAATCAGCAGAGGCCAATCAGCTTGTGCCATGTACCAAATGCTGTGATTGCTAGGACTTGCTTGATCAGCTTGCTCTGTCTAGATTTGTTTCTGCAGCCTTTAAAAAGAATCAAAAGAACATGAAAACTAGTATGATTTCATTTTTATAAGTAAAGCTCTGTGGCCGTTGTTTTATCCTTTGTTAGGACCTGCCCCCCTTTTTACTGTTACTATGTCAAGCTTTTAAACTAGAAAAAAGCTTAGTTCTGAAATTAAAGTAAGTATTACATAACTGCTCTTATCTCAAAAGCCAGACTTTTGACTAGTCTGATCCACTTTTCTGCTTATTCTAGCCAAGAACCACCCACCTAAACTGGAAGAGACCGTCTAATCGTCACATAAAGCAGCCAGAGTTCATTTTATTTTTATGTGCCATTTATGTGTGGATTTATCTGAAACTGCTGATACCACAAATAAATATTTTTTTCAAAGGCATAAGTTTTCTCTATGCAACTTTTAACATAAAGTGCTATTTTTAGATCATTTATGAAATATTCTGTTTAAAACTATCCAAAGGACCTAAGCAGGCGTACATTGCATAATATCAGTTGCTTATTTGGCTGTATGTCAGTAACATTTTTAAGGCAGGGCTTAGGGGAAGGATCAAGTTATCACTGATGGCATTTATATCTTCACAAGTACTTTAAAGCCCCGATATACTTGAAACGAAGTTCGATTTCATTTTTCGTTTGGGAGCAAAAAGAAATTCAAAAAGGCTGAGAGACGGTACACTGTATTCGAACATTCCAACACCCTCGCGCTGCTGGAGGTGTAGATTATTATGTGTTGCGCTTGCTTATTCTAGCCAAGAACCACCCACCTAAACTGGAAGAGACCGTCTAATCGTCACATAAAGCAGCCAGAGTTCATTTTATTTTTATGTGCCATTTATGTGTGGATTTATCTGAAACTGCTGATACCACAAATAAATATTTTTTTCAAAGGCATAAGTTTTCTCTATGCAACTTTTAACATAAAGTGCTATTTTTAGATCATTTATGAAATATTCTGTTTAAAACTATCCAAAGGACCTAAGCAGGCGTACATTGCATAATATCAGTTGCTTATTTGGCTGTATGTCAGTAACATTTTTAAGGCAGGGCTTAGGGGAAGGATCAAGTTATCGCTGATGGCATTTATATCTTCACAAGTACTTTAAAGCCCCGATATACTTGAAACGAAGTTCAATTTCATTCTTCGTTTGGGAGCAAAAAGAAATTCAAAAAGGCTGAGAGACGGTACACTGTATTCGAACATTCTGACACCCTCGCGCTGCTGGAGGTGTAGATTATTATGTGTTGCGCCGCTCGCGCGTATGCCCTAAACACAACAACGATGCAATGACGTTGATGCAATATATTGGGGCCTTCAGTGTAGCTTTCCACAGCATCTGAAATCAAAATAGGGTTGTGTCAGTGAGTTTACCTCATCAAAATCAGCTATAATCTCATTAAGGAGCCTGAGACACTCCAATCCCTCCTTATTAACGTCAGATTCTGTGTAAAATTCCTTGAAGTCTGGGATGGAGGCGAACATCACACACACAAGATCATACGACTGATGGTAAAGATCCTGTCAAAAATACAGCATACAAAATACATCTGGTCATAAAGACACAATAGACACATTTTGACTGGTGTTTTCAGACATTTGTATGCTACTCACCTCATTTTTCCAGTTTCGCCCCAGGAAATGTTCTGCCACATGGGCAGGAAGTACATTCTCCAAAAGCACCCGGTTCAGGTTCTCCATGGTCTCAATCTCCTCACACTCCCTCTTAAACTTGTTCCTCCACAGGAAGTCTAACCTACAGTAATATTCATTCTGTTACAAGAGGACACAGAGGTAAAGAGATTGTACACATCTGATCACCGTAAGTGGCTTTCAAGATGACAAAGAAAGCAGAATCAAAAGCACAGAAGGACAGTTCATCTTATGGTACATTTTTATGGATTTTTCTTGCATAAATGGCTGCTATCATGAAAAATATTTCTTGAAGCAGTGGAAATGGCACCTTGAAAGGCATTAAGTATGCACTGATAGTCTTTCTCACTCAGTCTATATTTGTTTTTGCTTATTTTTGTCTGGTTCATTGCTTTGGAGAAAAATCAGTCCTCGGCTTAGCTATCACCTGATCAACCTGAACACTGCATTACTTATAAATGAATTCACCTAACTGCACATTTCAAATACAGAGTTCATCAGACAGGCCTATTATCTAGGGACAAATAGCCTCTCGCAACAGAATTAAAAGCACACAGTGAAAAAATCAAGTCTGACCCACGGCCGACGTGTAGAGATACTGAAAGGTTTCAATACAGACTGAAAAACATATAATTCTCTCCATATTGTACTGTTAAAAAAACAATTTCTTATAGTGGTATTTATTAAATGCTTTTTCACAGGAAAGCTTTATGGTATTGTGCAGCCAGAGGCTGATGAGTGCTGATAATAACTGAAGCCATAGAAATTGGGAACATATTTGTGCTGCCACAAAACTTTAAGCTTAATTGTAAAATTACTTCTGAAAAATTCACATTTCAAGGTGAGACGTGACTATTTCTAGATTAGGCTAACGTCTATTATTAAAAGGTCATTGCATTAACATTCAGAGATCTTTTACAATTGAATCAACTGAATAACTTTAATTAAAGGAAAGTACTACTTAAGTTAAGCTCATTCTGCCAAATACCACACAATAATGATGCACTTACAATGGTAGTGCATTCTAGAGATGAAAAAGTAGAAATGTGATGCTTTTATTTTTGTTCAAAGGCTTTTATTAACTCTTCCATAAAAATGTGTTACATCTTTTCTTGGCCTAAGAAGAACTTAAAACCCAACAGACGGAGAAAACAAAATTTAGAGCATTACAGCAGAAAGACACCATCATTCTTAGCTAAACACATCTGTTACATTTTGTAACAGTTATGTTTCATAGTAGTTCATAACACTTTTTTTTTACACAAGTGCAAAATTCAACATAAATCAATAAGCTGCAAGCAGATGGGAAAAGCAGAGATGACCAATTGCCAACTTTGGCAGAATAGAAGTTTCTGTGGATACAGTTTTTATCCAGTTGGTGCAGGATTTAATTGAAAAGATGCTGAGATGTTTGAAGCATGTTGATCTGTGGTGTTTGTGACTACTTACATTTGTTTATAATAGAAACACAGTGGACAAAAAATGTTTTGACACTTAAGCCACAATTACAAATGCATGACTGTCACTGCAAGAGAACAAAATATAAAATTTCTAACAAGCCCAGCTGAACAGTGTAACATTTGATCTTATATGTGTGAAACCAAAAACCCAAGTATTCAGTCACATTCCTCTTGCGTTTCTCTCCCACAGGAACAACCAATCACTTGAGCTCAGGGATAACATCATTAGATCCATACTGGACCAGAGCCCTAGTATTGTGACGCTAACCGCAATGATGAATCCAACCAGACAGCTGACACTAATTCTACTCTGCCCTTTACTGTGAACCACCACAGATTCCATAGCTAAAGCCCCCCAACTGGGCCAAAAACTGGTGACTGATTTATCAGCCAACTGTCTAAATGAATGTGTCATGTAATATATTTTGTAAATACTGATAGGTTTATGTATACTAGGAATAAAAATTGTGCACCATTTAACAAAGACGTTAACTGGCCTTTATATCACCTGATTTTATTGCAGTCTTTGACCAAGTTTATTACCTGATCTAAGCTCTCAAAGCTTGGCATGATAAGAGCTGAACTGTACCACCACACATGTATTTTCTTCACATCATTTTGAAGTTAAACAGTGCCTATATCTCACATTAACTACCTGCGAGGTTCCTCAGGGTTTGGTACTTGGTCCCCTCCTATTTTCTATATACACAAAACTGGGACTTCTAACAGAGCTTTAATAGTGTAGTGATATTACCCTTATTTCTAAAGAGTTCCCTGAATTACTGAACCATAAAGCCAGCGGGCTGTTCACGATATTGGCATAACCATAACCAAAGCAAGCACGGAATATTTCTCTTATTGAACAAGCTCAATAATAACAAATTATATTTGAATCCAATAAATGTCAGTCATTTTAAAAGCAGTCCAATCTAGCTGATAGACCAGGTATTTAGTAGTAGTGATGCTCACCATGTTGAACACGGCCATGACTAGGATAAGTGCAGTGGTTGCCATGGTGAGCGCAAGTCGTATCCAGGGCTTGTTGGTGATGACTTTAGTGGAGCTGGGGAGCCAGGGCATTGTGCAGGAGGCTGCTTTGCCCCATTGCTAAGGCAACAAGAGAAAAGTAAAAAAAACAAAAACAAGCTTAACTCCCACCAACATCATTAGCATATCTGCTTCCATTCCAAATGCTCAAGGTTATGATTGTGCCCCACAAGTCAGAGACACATTATTAAACATAACTTCACAGTGAGTGAACATATAACAAAAAAGCCATCTATATCAACTTGAAAGAGGAAGTCAACATGAAATGTCATTCACAATCCATTGTACTTCCAGAATTTCCATAAAAATGCGATTGACTAAATTAAGGACTTCTTTCTTTCTGAAACATAGCTGGTACAGTTTTCCTCCCCTATAGAGTCTGACCCTCCTTGGACCCCAAAAGCAATTTCATTTGCTGAAACAACTTTTCCCATTGTTTGTTTTCAAATTTTTTTTTTTAATAAGATTACAGCTTAGCATAGTAGTTTAGCATACCACTATTTACCGGCAATCCATTTTCGAGGCTTTTGAAAGAGAAGTGAAGGCCAAAAGGGACCAACATGGCTGTTTTGCACAGAGAAAACATGAGGTTTTGGAATGACATGAGGGTGAGTAAATAGTGACAGAATTGTCATTTTTTAATAAACTATCAATTCAAGCTCAATTTTAATTGAATGAAAAAAGATCAAACCCCTGCCTGAGTTTCAACATTTTTTAAAATCTGAAATAAGACTTCGTGGCCTTGAAGAAACTAAGATCTGTTTGTAAAACTCACCTTGTACTGATTGCAGCACTAATGTAATGTTTGTAGAGGCTGTGTAACATTAAAGGGGTCATATGATGCTGCTAAAAATAACATTATTTTGTGTATTTGGTGTAATGAAATGTTGAAATGCGGTTTAAGGTTAAAAAAACACATTATTTTCCACATACTGTACATTATTGTTTCTCCTCTATGCCCCGCCTTTCTGAAACGCTTCGATTTTTACAAAGCTCATCGGTCTGAAAAGCGAGGTGTGCTCTGATTGGCCAGCTATCCAGTGCGTTGTGATTGGCCGAATACCTCAAGCGTGTGACGGAAATGTTATGCCCCTTACCATACTGTGATGCCGTGTCCCGGCGCGACGAGACAAAAACAATAAAACCCATTACAAACGAGGCATTTGTTGCATCCAGTGGGGACATAATTATGGATTATAATGACTTATACTGTCTTTTTATGTGCTGCATTGCATTGCGCCACGTAAACATAAAACCATGACTGCATTTGTGATCGGAGAAATTACAAACAACAAGCGCTACTCTACACCGCTCAAAACGCGCTTGAATCATCAGTGGCAAATTCTTTAAATATGAAAACGTACTTACAGACTATGAGTCAGAACAACCGGCATTGTAGTCTACTCTACCAGGATCAGGAAACAGTCCTCCATAAAATGTGCTGCACACATCTGAATATATTTGGGTTGAACTTTTCTGGAACAATGTTGCAAATACAACTTAACCACTGATTTCTAGTCATGTCCTTCCAAAAGAGCCGGCGGCTTGAGTGAGCGGAAGCAGGCGGGCTTGCAGCAACCACATGTGACGACCCCGTGCTGGACTCCGCTTCGTCCACAGTGAAGTTGATGTATTTCCTCAGCGACCAGCACGGATCAGCTCTAGGCATGACGAAGTGATATCGTCCTCTTTTGTAAGGACAAACAAAGTAGTTTCGCTTTCACAACGAAACACACTGCAACAACAACACTATAGCGAAAATCAAAGTTACGCCTTCTTTCTTTGCGTGAACATTTGGGCGGCGTTATGCAAATCTTCCCACATTGTGACGTAGATATGTGGGGGTGTGTTAGAACGAGCCATTTTAGGAGGGCGTGGTTGACTCTTAACTTTTATAAAGAATATCTCTTTGGATTTGAGACTTTAGTCTTTGCAACTTTACAGATCTTCTTTATGCACCAAGAGCTTGTAACACTCCAAAGAGAAAGGAAAAATTTAAATCACATCATATGACCCCTTTAATTGAGTTTATGCTACATTGTCAGGATGAGTATTAACGGAGCTGCAGTGGAACAGCACTTTACAAAACACTTAACCTAGACCCTGTTCAAGAATGCTTTGGACTTAAATCAAAAAGAAGTAAAAGAGGTAGAGGAGCTAAACAAAAAAACTCTCACCAGTCAATCACGCGTTAGTTACATCATCTACACAAAAAACAGCTTTCAATATTTAAACACAGCACTTCTACTGGATAACCTTAAACCCTCTTTTATATTTGTAAATCTGTGGGCTGAATGTGAACTCTAACATCAGATAAATGGGAAACAAAACTGAGAATACCTCTTACCAAATTCCGTAGAGCTCTACGCACTTATGACTTTGACAGTTATCGGTGAAACCAAAAGAGAGTCCTACCATAAAAGAAACTCAAAATGTGAGTGCCAGAGCTTTATAAAAATTGCCCTTCACACCCGCAATCCCCAAACCCATGAGGACTTGAGTTTACTGCATGAAAAAGAGACAAAAAAACAGTCCAGTAAAAAGTATCATCACTCAAGCTGCTTTTCTTTTGACACAAAAACAGAAAAAAAAGGTTTTTGGATTAACGTAATGTCACCATTCAGTGTGGCCTATTTTTTTTTTTTATCATCATGAATTCTGAATCTTCAACTGAATCTGTTTGGTTAATTAATGGACAAATCAAGTCGAGCTGGTGGGTGAACGGCTTAAAAACCCTTCAAGTTCTTTGGAAAGTCATGTCTTCTAAAAATATAACAGTTGATGCCTTAATATACAGAAAAACAGGTTACGTTGATCATAGTAGGAATTCCATAGAGTGTATGAGGCTCAATCTGTCAAGGTCACCCCACTCCCCCCAAAAATTGAAGCCTATTTTTAAAACTAATAATTATACCATTGTGACTTTTTAAATTATGACCCGAAATTCTAATGAGACTTTTTCTCAAAGGTCATACTCAATAGATTCTCAGTACTGAAATACAGTAATACTATAATACAAAGATTTTGTCATTTAAAAGAAAAATGAAGTACAACAAATACTAATATGTTGCACACTGCTGTTCAAAAAAGTTTGGGGATGTTACGATTTTTACATGTTTTTGAAAGAGGTCTTTTTATACTCAAAAAGGCTGCATTTATTTGATTAAAAAAATATAACAAAAACTGTAATATTGTGAAATATTATTACAATTTAAAATAACTGTTTTCTATTTTAATATATTTTAAAATTGAATTTGCTCCCGTGATGCAAAGTTAAATTTTCAGCATCATTACTCCAGTCTTCAGTGTCACATGATCCTTCAGAAATCTTTCTAGTATGCTGATTTGACGCTTAAGAAGCATTTCTTTATTATTTGCAATGTTTAAAACAGCTGTAGATTTTTTATGATTCTTTGAGAGTTCAAAAGAATAGCATTTATTTGAATTATGAAGTAAAATTATATATATTTTAAACAAAAAAGTCTTAGTGAACAGCAGTGTATAAATATAATTTAAATAATATTTGCTTGAAAATAATGTTACAATACAGTAAACCTTAACGGTCATAAAAACAGGCTTAATTTCCCTTAAAATAGGGTGGAATATGACCAGAACATGTTCTTACCAGATTTCCCATGAGTGAATCTACAGGCCTTTAAATATTGAATAAGCCATTTCGCTCTAAGCTTTCATAATATATTAAGGAAGAAAGAGCAGGAGAAAGAAAACAGGGAGGCATACAGCTGACATTTACTTAAGCCATTTATGATCCACAGGTCCAAAGTAGCTGGTAATTTGATTATAGACGCCGCTCTCTAAGAGCAGAGAAAGAGTGTTGTTCCTCGGGTTAAAACAAGGAAATTTCAATCTTGTTTTGATATGGTGTTTTTTCCTCCCAGTATGGCATTTTCTCTAACAAGATGAGGGTTTCAAATGTGCGGAAACCTCGATTTATTGAATGACATTTGAGTACACAGTTATTTCCTCCATGGAAAATGGAAAAATATGTAACATGTCAACATCTGAATAGACTGAACAGACAAGCCAACCTGCCTCATTCACTCTCAAAGAAAGCTTCTTTATATTTACTTCCACAAGAGCGAGCACCACTTACCAGTATGTGACCAGCAAAACAAATGGCGAGGATCAAGGCGAGCAGCAGGAAGGCCATTCCGAACGAAACTCCAAGGACGGTGGTTCTGTGAGAGACAAAATCATCAGAGATACTCCAAAGCATATGTATTCATCATCCGTGTATGCCTGCTATAGTTTGTGTCTCACATGAACATCCAATCTTAGCACAGCACTACTGTGCCATTGTTAGTGTGTTTTGTGTCATTGCAAGGTGATTGCTACTTGCTCCAGGTCAAAATAGCCCTCAAATCCAGCATCAAGACATTTTGCTCTTAAGATACATTCCACATCAGTGTTATTTTTGTATAATTTATAAACTATTATATTATTTATTAATATTTTCATCTTTATATTTTCAATTTTCATTCTATAATTAGTGTAAGTTTTAGTAAATTTGTGTGTTTTTTTAAATTTGGCTTTACATAATAAAAAAAAATATATTTAGCGATTTAGTTTTTTTGTTTGTAATTTTAGTAATTCAGCCTAAAATTATTTTGTAGTGTCTATTTACACTAAGTGCAAATAGCCCGCCTTGTTTTCAAAGGCTGTTTACACTAACTTCGCCCACCAACGTGTTGTTGGGCTAGTCAACATTACAAAAGACGGCTGTCAAACAACAGCTCCAGTGGTAAAACACATAGCGCAGACTTTTTGACGCGATTGACCCGAGTTCGAATCCGCCTTTTGCCGAATTAGTTCTTGTCCCTTTTCACATCTCATATCACATCGGAAAGGCATTTATTTTCAATAAAAATTAAGGAAAATAATCGAAAAGTTGATGAAGTATTGGATAGGGTTGGGGTAGGTGTAGGGAGGGCTTTGTCCCAATTAGTCAGCATCCATTTAATAATATTAATTAAACTTACAATTTACACTCAATACATTATTATTGCATACTGTTTTATAATGTATTACAATACAAAGGTGCAGATATTTGCCACTATTTGCAATAAGTAGTATAAATTGCAGAAAATACTTAAATGGAAGCTACGGCTATTTGCACTTGGTGTAAATAGCATCTCTCGCTATTTACACATTGCAAATAGCTGCAGCCAAATTACTTCAGTTTAATTTTTTTTATAATTTGTAATCAAAGAAATCTATTTAATCTAGTAATCTAAATTTTATTTTACCTTTAAGTAGTTTTTGTAATTTAACTTAAACTTATTTCAGTTAGTTGCTAAAGCATTCTGATGGTACATTGACTTCTAATAAGGCAAATGTCTTCTGTTTCTTTCCCACGTGCGTTTGGTGAGCAGGTATGAAATTACATCTTCTAATATTTTTTATTTTATTTCAGCTTTCAGCTTTTTAGCAAAACACTTTTCAATAGTTTTAGTTTTAGTTAACAGATGCCTTCTTCAGTGTAGATCTTTGGGATTTTTCACCTGTTTAATTGTCCAATAGGAGAAAACAATTATGATTGCTTAGAATAAAAACAAAACATATATTTCAATCAAGATTCAAGGTAATATTCACATAGAACAAATAGTGTGAGACAAATTAGGATGCTGAACTTTAGGGCTTTGGGGTTGGCAAAGTTTAGAGTATGTAAATAAACCCAAGCAAGCATTACATATTTTAATGGCTTTTTGAATATAGAAACAAAAGCGTTTAGTTCTAGTCTTTGTGGTGCCATATCTCATATATAAAATCTGATATAAAATCTGATATAAAATCAATGTCAGGAGGTGAGAACTCAGCTTGAGAGAAAGCACTGTGCTCTCGACTCTTGTGAATGTGTTCTCGGTCAACATGAGCAGTAAATTAGGGTAACGTCTTGCATAGATTTTTCTGTCTGACTTCATACAAAAGGAGACATCATTTCCAAACCAGATTGGCCTCTGATTCCAAAAAAAAATCTATAACTGTCTCCTCGGGGCTGTCTTTTTCAGGCAGGCATTGACATTCCCATCATCCCGTTCTTTATCATTGCACTCATTTTCTCTCAATTGTGTAGAAATGTTGTAATATTATTATGCGTCACTTGGTCTAAGTGCTGTGGGAGACAGCGGCGTAATTGCATCGCAAAAGACAATGAGATACTTGGAAGATGTGGTGGAGATGGCACTTACTTCGGCAAGACTAAGACCTGCACTATAAAGATGCAGAAGAAAATGAGACAAGCACAGGTGACGTAGTACTTGAAGGCCGGCAGAGTTGTGGCTCTGTACTGTTAGAAGAAGAAAAAAGAAATATTTCAGCTCTTACAGGTTTTCTATATGTTTTTGTTCAGATGCGGATTTCTCTTTACAGTGAAGTACATAGAGTATTTGCCATTCAATGACACATCTCATGGTGAAATGTACCTCTTTTTCGAGTGTCTTATTATGAAAGAACAGAGATATCCTCTGAATGTCCTCCGACTTCAGCCACTGTCTGGTAGAAAGAAAGCATAAATTAAGTCATTTGTAACAATTAAATTCTCATTGTCACGATGAATCTCTATTATAATAGCTTGTTGGGTGACATTGATGCAGGAAATGCTCTGAAAGTGAAACGAACTGTCAAATGTTGTGTTGTATTTTTCTATTTAATATAATTAAAAAAAAATGTTTATTTAATATTCTATAAATTATTATATTTGTTTAATTAATTAATTGAATTATTTGTTTTTATTTTACTAAATACATTTGAAATGAAAATTAAATAAACATAAACATAAAATAAATATGAACTTTATAAAATAAAAAATATTATATATATATATATATATATATATATATAGA